AACTTCAGATCAATATTCCTGTGGTCGTCGTGTATAATTGCTTTGAGATTTTGATGAAAATTTCTCTCCGACATTCAACGATACCTTTACTATGAATTCCATTAATAATATATTAAGATGCGTCGGAATGGATTATCGAATAGATATTTATTAATTTCCATTTAAACCACTAACAAAATATAATTTAATTGTAATAAATACCACATATTATATATATTAACGGTATACACCACATAAGAAATTATTTTAGTGAAAATGGTCGTTGAGAGAAATTAGTATCATTTTAACCATTATTAATAAATTTGATAAAATATTTAAATTTACTCAACTATTAACACTTTTTAAGTTCTTTTGGGAAAAAGTTAAAAAGCAATTTTTTATTTAACACATTTCTATGGATTCTTTAAAATTTTGATTATTTCTAGGAATTTTTTTAATTCTACACATTTTTATGGCTTCTTAATCTGCCAAATACAATCAAAATTACAACGATTTTCAAGGACGGATCACAGAAAATTTTCTTCAAACTGACAGACGTTTTCCATTAAAATTAAAAACTCGCTTTAGATTCTTTTCATTCTGAAGTAAAATTCAAAGTGAATGAATGAAAGTGAACACTGATGAAGTTTTTGAATATAAGCTAGAAGTTTCGTATCACATCAATTGTTTAATTGAAAAAAATACGTGTAGTCCCAAAGTATTTTTCACAATAGTTACAAAAAATAAAAATATTGTACCTGTTTTGATCTACCTGTTATTTTTCTTTCTTTCTCACGGAACTGATGTAATGATGAAAACGCAAAACAAGCCAAATAGAACTTGAACTTTAAATTATACAAAAATATGCTACATGAAATTTCGTATTTCGGTTTTCTGAAACATATTTATAACTTACGCAATTATATTTAGAACCTTAAAGAAATATGCTAATAATATAAGTTAAAATTTAAACTTTGTTCTAAATTCGATTTATAAATAAATATATTAATTATTTAAGAAAAAAATAAATTGTAAAAAATAACTGATAATATAAGGATTAAGTACTTTTTAAAACTTGGAATATACTCACGTATAATTGTTTGATTTATTAAGTCTACTATTCGGATCATTCATATAATAATAATTTTAAAAGTTCAATAAATCAAACGATATTTTAGTCGTGCAATAAAAATAACTAATAACGTCAATAAAATAAATTATATTCCTAGCTAATGGTCAAATTTTGGCAGCTGTACTATCAATCATCTAAATAGAAATGAAAAGAGATATATCAGATTCTTAAAATTAAATCTGTAGTTTCAATTTTTATTAGCAATTTAAATAGGATATTATAGATTATAGTTAAGGACTACATACAATTTATATCTATTTTATCTGTTTTTATATTTGAATTATATATAAAAATATTTTTAATTTATCACTGAAATTGCTAAAATAAAAAGTCAGATTCACTTTTGTTTTTAAAATTTCACTAAAAATCAAAACTGTCAGCTTTGATTGTATTTGATTAATTTTACATTTTATCGATCCACTATTAAACAAAACTTCAAAGAAATGTCTTTCATATGGTAGTGTAATAATTATTAATCACAAACGTAAAATAAATGTTAACGTAGTTATCGTTTTTGTCCTGTAACGAAATTCCAGTGTTTTTATTCAACGTTTTCATTAAACTTTGACATTCTTTAGATTCCACATTAACTGGCACAGACAAAAAGGGTGTTTCAAGTTATGTTAAAACACGTCTTGGTCGTAAACGTTTGTCAATTAATTTCCAGCTCACCCATTTTGTCACAAATATTCATAAGCGCTTGATAACATAGGCAGTGGCCCGTTGTGGTAAGGTAGGCCATGATGGTTGAGGTCATATCATTTTAATATATGTTAAAGAGGGTGTAAAACAATAATAGGTTAGGCGTAGGTCGGGCGTCAGATAAAATTAATTAAAAACATTTTACACGTGTGGATAGCCGTCGATGTGTGAAAAAGTGAATCCATTAAAATGTATGTTACATTTGTGTTGGTAAAACAAAAAGGAAAACGATAAAAATGCGTGCCACCCACCCGCTAGGGGTCTAAATGATTTTTCAATTAAAACGGACACACGTATAGGAAATTCGCCTCATCATTCAATGTCAATGTACATTCCATACAACTTTACTTTATTATTCTCTGGGTAAGAAAAGAATAGGGTAAACAAAATGGTATACACAGACTTAGAAAGCCAGTAAAATTAACTATTTTTGCCCAAAAAAATTGTTTGGTTTACCAAAATAATAGTAGAGTTTAAGGAACAAATGTTTATACAATATTACTTGCTAAATAGAGAAATATTAAAATTGTTTTCCAAATTATTTTTTATCCTGGAAAAGTAAAGCTATGTTTATTTAAATATCTTAATTCTAATTTACATATTAAAAAATTTCACGTTGCTCAATATAAACTTTTTCATCAAACTTATTTATGCGTAATGCATACTTTCCCCGAAGTGTTATATTTCAAAAGTGTATTTTGAAAGAGTTGCACAAAACCTGATACTAATTATAAAGATGGTGTTATTTCATTTTTTTATTATGAAAATGTTATTGTAAAAGGTTTTAAGAGTTGTGTTAAATAATTTAATACTTGATGAATTATTCTCAATTTAAAAAGTTTAAACTAAAAGACTACTGTTGCAATTTTTATGTCAAATATAATATTAATTACAACCCTTATATTTTTTAATGTAAAACTTACTTTTACACTACTGATAATGATTATTATTTTCATGTTTACGATTAAAAATTTTTAATGATACATTTTATTCGAACTTTTTTTTAATTTTAAAAATCAATCATTTAATCAATGAAGTACTGAATAACAATTTTATTCATTTAATTTTGTATTTCAAAATTATTATTTAATAAATTTAATATTTGACCAATTTAAATAACTTATTCATATACATCTTTAATATATATATTTTACATTTGAAAAGATTCCAAAATATGAGTATTGGAAAAAATACAAAGCGAGGGTGGTCTGTTGTACTTTTTTTCATTAGACGAATTGAATAGTAAATCCTCGTGGGATATTCTTTGAGTGATAATAATTAACTTTATTAAATCATATTTAAAACATTATATAGTAAATTGTAAAACTACTTACAATGCATTATTTTCAATCCTTGTTTTCCAACCATTTTTACTATTCATATTCAAAATAAGGGATATCCCTTCAGGCTTGAAACATCAATATTATAATAACGTATTGTGTTTGACCTGACATGATTGAACATTGTTTAGATTTAGTGATTGTTCGAAAGAATACAGCTTTACTATCAAAACCACTTCAAACGACACTTTAATATGTCTGAAATAAATCTCTGTCCATTTTTTTTGGAAGACTTAGTGAATCATGTCTCAGGGCAGATGACCATAGAAGGATGCGAGTTGGTGTGGGGGCAGCAGGATAAAAAACAACCATCCCTCAGGAATTCCATACAAATATTACAAAACAACTCTCACATACATACAAATATTATACAGAAGAGATAAGTCCAATATTTTTTGCGTGTTTACACACTGGCATAAGGATAAGTAGCGGACGACAAACGACCCTCGGCCATCAATACATCGTTATAAAATATTACTCTGTTCTATAGGACCGTTCCCGGGGGAACTCACCTTGTTTCCTAAACGAAGGAAATAATACGACCAGCGAAATCTTCTTCTGTTCGCTAAAAACGAAGAAATGATTTGGTTTTGGCTCTGGGGCATTTACCCTTCACTTGCATGTTCGTGTATTGGTATAGTCATGCCGGTTAGTTGAACGGTATTGTATTACAAATGTGACTAAACGATGACGAGGACAGTATTCATTTCTTGTGCTCCGAATTTGTTTAATTTGTACCTGACAACGTTTATTGAAGTCTTTTAATACGACGTGACAATGTTTTATTATAGTCTAAAATAAAAGAAAAACAAAAAATACATGTTGTATTCTAACGAATGAAGTTCGTTACTGTTGTTTACAAGTAGTTTTATTCAAACATGCTACTTTTCTGGTTCAAAATATAAAAAATACCATTTAAACATTAATTGACGAGATTGTTTAGGTAACCATTAAAATAAGATAGTGGTTGTCATTTTTGATGAATCGATTATTCTAACGTTGATATTTTTATTGATTTTTAAATAATTGAGACTATCATCGTTTAAATAATTAATAAGACTTGTGTTATTCATTATGGCTCGACTTTAAAATAAATTCAAATACTTAATAGCTATAATTCACTAACTCAAGTTTTAGCCAAGAAGACAATCGTTATACTCATCAGTATGCATCTTTGGAATACAGGCAGCAATTATTTGCTGCCTCTGGATTTATTTACTGAAACTTGCGCCCATTAACGATGTTGCAGCCGTTGAAGTGTCGTTATATACACGGTTTTGAGTGGGAATTTATGGGTAGAAATTATAGGACCGATCGTATGTATATTAGTCTTTGGATTTATTAAATCCGCATGTACCAATGTAAAACTAGATAGACGAGAGGAAAAGTTTAACGAAAACGTATAGTGGCATTAGAGTAGGGGTTGAGAGCGTGAAAAGGGTTGAACAACGTTGTAGCGTGTATAAGAGTAATTATGCGTAATGATACTATTAAAAGAAGAGAAGGTAAAGATAATGTGAACAAGAAGCGTGAATTACACACATGCATGTGCGTATTTTGCCCGTAAAGGACAACAATATTGTTTTACAAGAGACTAATGTGTCATGAAGATATCACAATCTTTTAACCATATGCACGTGTTTATGTATGTCGTATTCAATTTACGTCAACAATATTTAGCTAGAGAATTTCAACACGCCTCTAATATGTTTTTAAAACCAATAAAACCGACAAACTCAATTTAGTCGATCGCTTTTACTGTGCAACGCGACACCTTCAAAAGATTATTATAATATCATCCAAGACATGGTACTTTCGTATATTTTCATTTCAAAGTAATTTTCTAGATGTGCATAATATTTGGTTCCCATGCAAACGAACTTACTGCAAAGTGATTGAAACTCAATGTTATTTTAGCGCATAGCGTAGCGTATCCAAAACAGCCTTTATATACAGTCGTTTATTATGAAACCACTACTTTGTCATATTCGATATTATCATTTTCCCATGAGCGACATTATTCTGCCATTAAATACTGTGAGGTTTAATAGCAACAAAAACATCTTTTTGAACTTTAAAATGTGATTTTAACTTCAAAAAACAAAGTGTTGTTGGTGTGAAATTGTACTTTACCCAAAAAATAAATACTCTGTTCGCAAGCAAAAATCACTTAAATTATAAATTACAAGAGTAAGAATCATTAAAATTAAAAATTTAATGTTTTAACTTTTTGAAAAAAATTTTTGGGTGTATAACATCTACAATAATAAACTTTATTAGTTACTTCAAAGAGATTAATCAAATCTGTTACAAAGATCCGGCAAGAGAAGGGGTGAAGATAAATTGCCCATGAAACCGGAAAGGTTTGCATACGTTCATACTTCCGGTCAACGTGAGTATACTGTCAATGTGCTATCTTTCCTACAAATTCTCGACAATTTTTGATTGATGAACTATTGAAAACGGACAATTTTAGAAATAAAGAAAAAAAATGAAGTTTAACTGCTAAGTATCTTAATATTAAAAAATATGTTTATACTAGTTTTTATATCTTAATACATTTCACTTATAGACAGGAAAACTATTTCTATAATACAATTTATAAAGTTATTTAGGTACATTATTCTTCATACATCTTATTCAATTATTTTGTACTAAACTGAATTGAATTTAGTTATATAAGGCAATCCTTGAGGTTTGAAGGGCATTTATAAAAATATATACTTTTCATTAACTTCTAAAATATTATTATAATTTTGTTATTATTAAATTGACTGGATGAAGAGTAAAAAGTCTTATTGGCTAAAAAAATATCATTAAAATTTTCTTAACAACAACATAGTTTTATTTCGGAGAAATTTTAAATAATCATTTCATAAATCAAATCTAAAAGTTATTTTTTCTAACACACATTGAGCAAATTTAATTACGAATTTTTAATATAATGGACATCAATAATCGTGTTTCATTGAAACGTACTTTGGACAATGAAGATCACGAAGAAGTTCAGGTTAAAAAACTCAAACGGTAACAACACTTATTTGCAGTTAGATTTAATGAGTATTAATCAATGATCTACTCATGTGTTTGGGTCAATCCCTATAAAATCATCCAGAGTGGTCGCGCGACCAATTTAAATTTGTTTGAAATTTCACACATGAGTTGCCTAGTATTTAAATAATAGATATGTCAAAAAAAAAAAAATTTAGGGAATGTAGATTTATGACCTGTCAAAATTTTTAGATTGCAAATTACCGGTTGGGTTGGGTTTATACTAAAGACTTGAAAAGTTCACTTTTTCATTATGAAATCTTAGAGCATAAAATTTTTTAATTTTAATTTATTATTTTAAGTAATTTTGAGAAAGGTTTCTTTTTTGTATTTGTGAAAAAGTGACATTTTCAAAATTAAAATTAACGTTGAAATAAAATTTTTTTACATCATATTAAAATTATTTAGTATTATAATTTAACTATGTGTTCAAGTTTTTTACTTTGGCTTTTTTTTAGTAACGCACGCATAAAAAAGTTCAAATTTCTAAAATAACGATTTTTAGGCAACTATAACTTAGATTTTCCTGGAGGGACAGAATATTAAATCATAAAAATTTCACTCAATATTGTTACAAATATTGACTTTCTATGTTAAAAATTTCAACTTTGGTATTTTACCGAAACCAACATGAAATTAGCTTTGAAAACTCCCCTTTTTTAATTTATTATGTTGTAAATCATTGTAGAAATCAATATTTATATATTATTTTCTAATAAGAAATGATATATTTATTAATTATAAATTTATTATTTACTATTTACAAATAATAATTAAATTATTTAAATATTGAAGAATTTATAATATAAAATTTTATAAAAGATAACTAAACACAATATATATATTTTACTTTGAATATTTTATATCTTGATATTTAGCAGAAGATGAAGTTTTTTAACACCTTATCAAATTCTTTTTCAAAGTTACTATTCTATGTATTTCAATTGTGCTTGAAATTATTTTAGTATTTTCAAATTTCAGTTTTAACTTTTTTTCATATTCATTAACTTCACTTGTAAGAACGAAAAAATATTTTATTCCTGTTATATTTTCAACACAAAAAGTATACATTGTTTCTGGAGTTAATATAAGATTTTCACGCACACTCTGTACACTATGCTTAGTAAATATCCTTTTTGTTGTGCCATCAACACCATCACTTGCATTTTTCCCAAGACAACGCAAAAACATTCTACTCAGTTTCAATTTCAAAATCTTCAAAAGAGCTTTATGTTATATTCATAACATTTTTTTTTTCTTATATTGACTACCGGCACCGTCACAAAAATATATAATTTTTTTTTAAAGGACATATTGTCATTAAATCACTTATCAGATATTTTTGAAATGCCTGAACTGCTATCGTGTTATGTTCAAAGTGGTCACTTATAACATGAAAGCATCTGCATTTAATTTCATTAACAGCTTTAATAATACACGAAAGTTTAAAGTGTAGCCTGTTTGTTAGCCCAATGATAATTTTGTATATCATCTTGTATGATAAAACTATAATTCTCCGAAAAACCGGCTAGAGCTATGCAATCTGTAGTAGATAAATTTTCTTTAGACTTTTTAAAGTAACTTGTTTGAATTTTTGATGTGTAATGATGTATTTTTAAAATACACAATTTTTCACTTAATAAATCAATAAAATCATCGACAGGTAAAATATTAGTTACTAACTCATCTCTATCTGTACTAATCCATTCTGTGTATATAATGTTTTCTGGGCCATCATCTAATTGGTCAAAAGCAATTTTTTTTTAAACTATCACTCGAATTCAAAAAAATGAATAATTCTCCCATCATACAATTATAATTTTCAATATTACAAACTAAACAATTTAGATAGTATTTATAACCAGCTTATAACTCAGCTCTTTCAACCATAAGCTTTACATTATGATTGTAAACACAGACACACACATTATGTATACCCGAAAATCCAGCCAATACACAACACTTAGATTTAAGTGTGAAAATTTGGTTTCACTAATTAAATTTCACATATAATTCATTTAATAACCATTTTTGATATTTGTCGCTTGAACCATTTATTTTAATATTAACATAATCTATTTTACCAGGGCAGATACTACTATATTCACCATTGCCATAAAATTTTAAGACGAGCTCAACTAGTTCATTAATAATAACATTACCAGTTTTTTTTAAAGTTGAATTATAATTCTCATGAATTTTTCAAACCATAAATTCGGAGACTCCCTACAGATTTTATCTCGCGACCACGAATTGGGCAATCAACTAATGATCATTACTTTATCTTATTTTGAAGAAACAATTATATTTTCTTTTAATTTGTTAATATTCCGATAAATTAGAAGTTTGAAAATGTGATACAGCTTGATGAAATTTAGGAATAGCTTCGAAATCAGCATGTAAATTAAAAGATACTTCTTCGACTTTTTTATGAAATGCACTGGGAATATGAGCAGAATTTAATTTTCTTAAATTTAATAAACGTGACATTTTAAATATATTAAAGACCAAGTCAACTTTATTAATTCTTTCTTCTTTCAAAATAAATAAATCATCATAGAAACTATGATTTAGTGAACTAGATATAACATTTCTACTTTATTCTTTTAAAAAATATTACTATAGCAATTACAACATACAGACTTAACAAGTAATAACAGAAACGTTTTTTTTATCTTAGTAATATGTTTTAAACTTATTTCCCTTAAACTTATTTTATGTTCCGTTTATGAACTCCTAATGGATCAAACATTAACAGTGGTGCATCACATTGTATTGAATTTAAAATGTTGAATGAGACAAACATAACATGATAGCACACGTTACATTCTACTTACGAGTTAAAACTAATCGTTTTGTACATTTCTAGCCTATTGAAGAGGAGGCTTATTTAATAGTGAGCCAAAAAAGAAAAACTAAATAAAAGTAATAACACATCTAAATCTAAACATATATAACTATATATTTCTGTTTAATACATTTACCGCGAATTGACAAAGTAGATAATTACGGATTACATTGTGATATTGATTACATTATTGATCTTACAATAATGAACTATTAATAAATATTAATAAATATAAACAAATTTTCAAATTAGATTTCTTTTTAATTTTTATGTGTTAATACATACATTTTTAAACTCATTATCAAATATACAAGACACTTTAAGATATGATTGATTTTACTTATCATATTTTAAATCAAAAAATACACATCAGGTATTATTTAATTATATTTGGTGAAGAATAATTTACGGTACAATTGTGTTATAAGGTTAAATGAAGATGTCGAAAATTTAAACGCCACGGTTGATTATCATGATGATGAAAAACAAAATAAGACTCTCAATGAAGAATGCAATAATTGTGACGATATTGAAGGAATTCCAAAAAAAGCTGAGTATGATTGTGTAAACATTATTTTAAATGAATGATATATCCATTCATTATGTCAAGAAATAATTAATTTTTATTTCTTACAATAGGTTATAAACGATTTTTAAACAAATCAATTCATTTTACGGATAATTTGTTATTTATTAATAACTAAGAGTTTTATATTAAAAAAGTTTTATTTGTATATTACTTTCAATAAAAGTTCAACATTATTAAAATGTATTAAATATTAATAAATATAAGCAAACGTATTTAAAATATTTTTGTAGAGATAACATAAATTATGTTGAAAACTCAGTTTCGTATGTCGATATCTCTTACGACCGTCCAAATTGTTCATCAATACCTGACTGGTATGAAACTGACCAAGGACCATCGAATGACAGGTTATATTTTAATAATAAAATTTATTAAATGTATATAATATATACATTTATTAAATATATGTTTAATTTTCATGCTAATTTTTATTGATCATACATTTAATAATACTTTGTTCGTAGTGACTTAGAATTTGTTGCAAACATTCCATTTCCAAATTTATCATCTGAAAATAGGAATAAAATTTTCTTTGGAAGTACATTCAGGGACCAAAGTAATGATGAATCATTGGAATCGTATTCACGAACAAACCGATGTTTATTTCACAATTATAGCTCGTAATTCTAAATTATTTCTGTGATATTTAATAATTCCATATATTTTTAGTCACTATTTTATTATCTCTAGTTTAATTGAATTAGCACCGTTATTATCTAATAATCAGTATACAGACGATAATGCTTATGTTGATTTTGAAAATATGAATTATGTATCATCAACATCATTGTGTTCTACAGAAAGTGTAGCTAACACAAATAGCATTCCAAAAACTGTAGATATCCATAGTCCTGAAAATACTACTAATAAAAGATATTTATCAATGTTTATGGCACCGAGCATTAATAATGATATAACGATTAATTATTAGTAAGTATTAGACTATTTCATGTGTGTATGTAATTCTGATTTTAATGTAATTTTTATATATTTAAATATTTTAAACAGGGTATTTTTTCTAATTTTTTTTTTCTTATTTAAAATATATTATACTTAAAATATTTTTTAAATTATTAATATGTCACATTGATATCACAACATTTATATAAAAAGAGTGGTGATTTCTTTATGGAAAATTCAGTAAAATTTTTTTTTCTAATTTTATGTTTTTTTTATTTTCTTGAAGCAATGAAGAACTTAACTATGACAGTGATGAAAGTTCACAATTTAGCATTGATATTTCTTATAATTATTCAGATGAGTCATCAATACCAGATTGGTATAAAACTGAACAATTTAATCCGTTAAATATGTTCGTAAACTGGATGTAATATAATTGTACAAAAGTTTGATGAAAACAATTATGCAGTAACTTTGTATAATAAAATAGAGATTTTTTGTCATTAAAAATAATTCTATTAAAAAAAAAATAATTAAAAATAATAAATGTTTGGTAGAACTATGCTGGTTTTTTACATTAAAATTTTCTTCAAACTTAGTGTGCATATTTAAATAGCTTTTTAATGTCATATTATTTTAAAATAATTTTATTTAAAGGGACGATGATTTTATTGTAAATATTCCATTTCCAAAACGACAATTTTAAAAACAAACTATGGAATATACTTAAAATGAGTCTATAACCTATAATTTTTAATCAAAAATATCATATGAACAATGACTTCTCATGTGGCTATTTCGTTTACATGGTAATAATTTGTGATTCATTTACAATTTAAGACATTTTTTTTTATGTGAAAATTTTTTTGTTTTACAGAAAGATAACATTATTCCTGCAACAAATTTAATCAATTACTTTGAATAAAAGGTGAAAAAACAATTTTGTCAAGTGGAATATTATCGAATAAATTCTTATATGTTTTATTATTATAAACATTATTTCAAATATTAATAATCCATTAAAAAAAAACTTTTTTCCATTGTTAAGTGCCTAAAGATATTTAAAAAAGTATAATAAACGTTTATTATTAATTATTCTTCTGAAATATCATTATATTATGAATTTAGTATTTTTATATTATATTTTATAGTAAAAATATATGATATTATTATTTTTATTATGTTTTTTATATACTGCGCTAAAATTAATAATTAAATTATAGCTAAAATAAAATATTTTCATAGTTTTTTTTAAAAAAATGATTGTGTGATATGTGTCATATTATGTAGTTAAATTCTTGAACTATAACATGCTTCAAAATAAAATAAAATATTTTGTTTAGAGGATCAAAATCATAAAACATTTACGCATATTTAAAGTTCTCTCAAAAAGCAATTGTTTATAAAAACCGCTACAAACTAAGGTACGAAGGGTTTCCCATTGAAGTAGTTCTTAGCCGCCTCTACCATAAATACATAAATTGTATGTGTTAAAGAAAAATATTTGTAACTTATGACAAATTATATGAAAAAAAAAGTTAATTTGAAATATTTAAAAATTAGAAAAAATGGCTTATGAAATAATTCAACGCCATAAATCAACTTAAAATGCAAAAGAGAATCTATTTATAATATTAAAAATTAACCCACGTATACTACTCTTGAAGTGCAAGATGTCTGAACGACTTTCACTTAAACACAATCTGAAACATAAAAAAGATTAAATTGAATATAATTTGGAATATTATACTATTAAATGTTAATTATTAAAATATTATATCAAATTAAGAATAGAATTAATAATAAAATTTAGTTTACACACCTGATAATAAATAGCTCAAAATTCTTAATTGAACAAATATTTTTCACTAATCATAATATTAACAAAAAATCAATGAATTTTAGTTTATACGTTGCATATTCCGTCGCCTAATAATTTGAAGAGATATGATTGAGATTTTCNTTACGTTACATATTCTGTCGCCTAATAATTTGAAGAGATACGATTGAGATTTTCAATGATGATGAGTCGCCATAGAGTTTAATAATGCAATATATATTTCTAGCTCTTTAAACGATGAAATTTTTTGATAATATTGTATTAAACAGACAATTTAATGCTATTTCAATTATTTTTCTTTAATTCTTAAAATTTAAGAACCATTATAAAAGTGCTACAAAAAAATGTCATTCTTTCTATTTAACATAATTAAAAGAACATTTATTTTAATTAAAATAAATTTCTAATTAATAAGTCTCAAAATTCAACTTGCAAATTAGGTTTAAACATATTTTGAAAATGAAGTTTGAATCAATTATAACATAATCATTTGAATCAAATATTTTTTATAGAATGGTCATTTTGATTGACGATGTATGTTTCTGGTTTTTTATTTTATTTTTTTGATTAAATTAATAAAATTGTAAATGCATTATCAATATAGCTTAATAAATTTTACTAATAAGAGTTTTCATTTTACTTAAAAATAAGTTTATTTTGATTTGTCTGCTAAGCTACTTGAAACAATAGTTTTTTTAACAGTCATTGAAGTACATATGTGTTTTTATGTGATTAACGTGAATATAGAGTAGTTTCAATTTTGTAGTGTGACATCAATTTGATATTTCATTTTATGAATACAGCTAATCGTAGTTAATTAAAAAATCATATAGACATTGATATTGATATTTAAATATTAGCTAATCATTATTTTGAACATTATTTATAAATCAAAAAAAATCTATTACTGTCTAGCCATTTACATAATTAAGAATAAAACCGCAAATAATAAATCAAGAACAGCACAAATGACTACTATTTTAAATTTTTTATAGAGTATTACACTCAATTAAGGTACACATAAAAACATTCAAAGGGTGTTGTTAGAGTTTTTAATTGTCAGATACGTCTGAAAGGGTTTTGTGAAAATTTACAACCAAAGATTAAAACCTGGGGACATAGTGATGATGATCATAGTACATAAAAAATTATTTATACTATATGTTATACAATAGAAGCCAAAAGGATTATAACCCTTTCGGATCACTTAACAAAGACTTCAATCGAATATAATATTGCACTAGTAATTTTTTTCGTATTCTATAATATCCCTTAAGTATAGAGATTAAAATAACTAAGTAGGTTTACTTTAAAAATATTCCCTGGAGATATTTTACTTACAGATAAAAATTGTCCCCCTAAGCATTATATTACTTTATAATTACTAGTTTATGACAAAATTATTATTTGTCAAATATTAAAAAAAAATGTATAAACCGTTTTTTTTAACTTGGTGCATTTATAATAACATGTTAATGTAGAATGAAGTGGTTCCTTGTAAATTATTTTTTTCTGATTATTAAGCAGATTTTATTTTAGATTGAAAAGTTCTGGTCTTTATATGTGTTTATATCATAATAAATGTAAGTTCGAGATTAATACTTGTATATAAAAAAAAACACATTTACGATTACTCCAATTCATCCTGTTAAATTAAAAATTTTAATTTACTTTATAAATTCATAATATTTTTATATATAACATTAATTTATCATTACATTTTTATTAATTATTCAGAAAAATTTTAAAAAATTACCTCGTAAAGATAATTATTTATGACAACATTGCATTTTTAATAATTATTTATAAATTTTATTTTATGTTCTAATTTAATTATTTATAAAATAATATTATATGACCTTGAATAAATAATTCAATGTAGTTTTTTATTATGGTGCGATAAAAATAGCTAGAAAATATTTATAAAAATAAATATATTTATAAATAAAGCACGGTTTTATTATTCTAAATTAATTCTAATAAACACAAATAACTTCTCATCTTGTGACTACAATAACAATCATAAAGAAAAATAAAATTTAAGCACTTTGAGTACTTAATATAATTTGAATCGCATAAATATTATTTTAGTCTCGTACGTCAAAGATATTTACTGAATTTTAGATATTTAATTATCATTAGTATGACGTAGTGTATTGATTATATAACAATTTTTTATCAAATTTTGTTATATTATGCTTGTATTTAATATAGGTAAACGATGTTTTCATTTTAAGTAATTATATACATATGTATACAGACGTGTGATTGCTAATAAAATCAGAATAAAAATAGTTCAATATGCAACAGTGCTTTCATCTCGAAAATCCAATTCGCTAGATAAACAATACAAACATCAAAGTATACACAATCAAACAATATTCAACTGACCGAACATAATAACTCATAATCGACTCGATGACGTTTGCACACCAAAGCCGCCGTATAATTAATTATTACCCCAGGGTCTAATGTAATAACACTGTGAATGATACGTGAGCCATGATGATGACAAAATGTAAATAATAACAGACTTTGTACTGTGATATTTGGGATTTTATTCGTCCTGTGGCTATTGACATTTCTAACGCATTAATTAAATAACATATTCCATACGTGGCATCATTTTTTGTTTTGTTTTACCCCCCTTTTGTATAAAGGACATGCAAGCTGAACCATCTCTGTCATCAATTGAGTGTTCCTCCCTATGTCTATGCCATAGCTTACAATGGTATTTCAGACCTGAAACCGGCAAAATTTAATAATCATAAAACATAACGCTATTTTAAATGTTAGCCAATTTTATTAAATATTGTTACTCATTTAAAACTAAATTTTACTATTAAATATTCAATCATGTTATGCAAATGTACGTAAAAATGCATAAATCATTGTAATGTTTAATTTAAATTAATTATTATTTTTTCAAACAAATATTTTAAATGTCTTTAATGTTAAAGCANAATTATTATTTTTTCAAACAAATATTTTAAATGTCTTTAATGTTAAAGCAGAAAATTTAACTTTTTACATGTAACTTCATAACGTTAAGTAGTGTTCACTAATATTGACATTCCAAAAGACTCTCAATGAACTAATTCCAATTTTTCTTAAAGTTTAAAGTTTTATGTTGTTATTCGAGTAATTTTTGATTTCTTTTTTTATTGTAATTATGTGACTTATTATGTATTTATCTACCATGTTTTATACAAAACCTATTCCAAATAAAGAGGAAATTCAATACATACTATTTATAAAATTTTAATTTACCATTAATGGACAAAGGATATTAACGACAAAAATTCAAAAAAGGAGCTCTCATAACGCAAATAAAGCCTTAGGGGTAATCGATACTATCTCCCGCAGACACAACTTATTGTTGCATGACATAATTAAAAAGCAATTTGTTTTACATGGTACCTACTAGTATAATTTCAACAATTTATTTATTATAGTCACAAATGTTTATTATTTAATAGGTTTATAACAACAACTGGTTTGAATTTTTTTAATAAATTGGTTATTGAATGTCCCTAATTTCTGAAAAAAACATACTTAGATCTTTCCCACAGTATAAATACACAAACTATACATATATGTTTAATGTGGTTTAATAAATAAATTATTATTATTTTATTACACTACATGTATGATATGTCTAATCAATATATTTTATATATAAAAAAATAGTTTTTTATTTCTAAATGAATTAACTTTGCAAATATTACCAATGAATTCTGGTTTCGGTATAGCACATACTAAGACGAAATTATAATTTAATATAAATATTACATTAAGTTTTGCTTTTGCACAAAAAATAAAAATACTGGACAAAACGTAATATCTACTTAGCCACGAGTCTAACAATCCCGTGGGGGTTCTAAAACTCTCCCCAAATGATTCGGTGTTTAAAAGAGGTCCTCGTAAATTCGATTACATCCAAAAACTCAAGTATATGTTTCTACCGGATTTTTGTTAAGATTAAATTCTTCTTGTCACGACATTCACAGCATCCAATTCCTCCAATATCGTAATCCGAAAATACGTCCACTTGGCTTTTTTCCCAATTGTCCGTCGTAAAAACCTCGGCCAGGATAATATTTGACGTTGATAACGACGACTGTCCTGATTGGACGACCCATC